ACATTTGTCGCGTGTTCACATTTGTCGCGTGTTCACATTTGTCGCGTGTTCACATTTGTCGCGTGTTCACATTTGTCGCGTGTTCACATTTGTCGCGTGTTCACATTTGTCGCGTGTTCACATTTGTCGCGTGTTCACATTTGTCGCGTGTTCACATTTGTCGCGTGTTCACATTTGTCGCGTGTCACATTTGTCGCGTGTTCACATTGTCGGCGTTCACATTTGTCGCGCGTTCACATTTGTCGCGGTTCACATTTGTCGCGCGTTCACATTTGTCGCGCGTTCACATTTGTCGCGCGTTCACATTTGTCGCGCGTTCACATTGTCGCGCGTTCACATTTGTCGCGCGTTCACATTTGTCGCGCGTTCACATTTGTCGCGCGTTCACATTTGTCGCGCGTTCACATTTGTCGCGCTGTTCACATTTGTCGGTCGCGTTCACATTTGTCGCGTGTTCACATTTGTCGCGTGTTCACATTGTCGCGTGTTCACATTTGTCGCGTGTTCACATTTGTCGCGTGTTCACATTTGTCGCGTGTTCACATTTGTCGCGTGTTCACATTTGTCGCGTGTTCACATTTGTCGCGTGTTTCACATTTGTCGCGTGTTCACATTTGTTCGCGTGTTCACATTTGTCGCGTGTTCACATTTGTCGCGTGTTCACATTTGTCGCGCGTTCACATTTGTCGCGCGGTTCACATTTGTCGCGCGTTCACATTTGTCGCGCGTTCCACATTGTCGCGCGTTCACATTTGTCGCGCGTTCACATTTGTCGCGCGTTCACATTTTCGCGTATCACATTGCGCGCGTTCACATTTGTCGCGCGTTCACATTTGTCGCGCGTTCACATTTGTCGCGCGTTCACATTTGTCGCGCGTTCACATTTGTCGCGCGTATCACATTGTCGCGCGTTCACATTTGTCGCGCGTTCACATTTGTCGCGCGTTCACATTTGTCGCGCGTTCACATTTGTCGCGCGTTCACATTTGTCGCGCGTTCACATTTGTCGCGCGTTCACATTTGTCGCGCGTTCACATTTGTCGCGCGTTCACATTTGGGTCGCGCGTTCACATTTGTCGCGCGTTCCACATTTGTCGCGTGTTCACCATTGTCGCGTTCACATTTGTCGCGTGTTCACATTTGTCGCGTGTTCACATTTGTCGCGTGTTCACATTTGTCGCGTGTTCACATTTGTCGCGTGTTCACATTTGTCGCGTGTTCACATTTGTCGCGTGTTCACATTTGTCGCGTGTTCACATTTGTCGCGTGTTCACATTTGTCGCGTGTTCACATTTGTTGCGTGTTCACATTTGTTGCGTGTTCACATTTGTCGCGTGTTCACATTTGTTGCGTGTTCACATTTGTTGCGTGTTCACATTTGTCGCGTGTTCACATTTGTCGCGTGTTCACATTTGTTGCGTGTTCACATTTGTCGCGTGTTCACATTTGTCGCGTGTTCACATTTGTCGCGTGTTCACATTTGTCGCGTGTTCACATTTGTCGCGTGTTCACATTTGTTGCGTGTTCACATTGTTGCGTGTTCACATTTGTCGCGTGTTCACATTTGTCGCGTGTTCACATTTGTCGCGTGTTCACATTTGTCGCGTGTTCACATTTGTCGCGTGTTCACATTTGTCGCGTGTTCACATTTGTCGCGTGTTCACATTTGTCGCGTGTTACATTTGTCGCGTGTTCACATTTGTCGCGTGTTCACATTTGTCGCGTGTTCACATTGTTGCGTGTTCACATTTGTCGCGTGTTCAATTTGTCGCGTGTTCACAATTTGTCGCGTGTTCACATTTGTTGCGTGTTCACATTTGTCGCGTGTTCACATTTGTCGCGTGTTCACATTTGTCGCGTGTTCACATTTGTCGCGTGTTCACATTTGTCGCGTGTTCACATTTGTTGCGTGTTCACATTTGTTGCGTGTTCACATGTGTTGCGTGTTCACATTTGTTGCGTGTTCACATTTGTCGCGTGTTCACATTTGTCGCGTGTTCACATTTGTTGCGTGTTCACATTTGTCGCGTGTTCACATTTGTCGCGTGTTCACATTTGTCGCGTGTTCACATTTGTCGCGTGTTCACATTTGTTGCGTGTTCACATTTGTTGCGTGTTCACATTTGTTGCGTGTTCACATTTGTTGCGTGTTCACATTTGTTGCGTGTTCACATTTGTCGCGTGTTCACATTTGTTGCGTGTTCACATTTGTCGCGTGTTCACATTTGTCGCGTGTTCACATTTGTCGCGTGTTCACATTTGTCGCGTGTTCACATTTGTTGCGTGTTCACATTTGTTGCGTGTTCACATGTGTTGCGTGTTCACATTTGTTGCGTGTTCACATTTGTCGCGTGTTCACATTTGTCGCGTGTTCACATTTGTTGCGTGTTCACATTTGTCGCGTGTTCACATTTGTCGCGTGTTCACATTTGTCGCGTGTTCACATTTGTTGCGTGTTCACATTTGTTGCGTGTTCACATGTGTTGCGTGTTCACATTTGTTGCGTGTTCACATTTGTCGCGTGTTCACATTTGTCGCGTGTTCACATTTGTTGCGTGTTCACATTTGTTGCGTGTTCACATTTATTGCGTGTTCACATTTGTTGCGTGTTCACATTTGTTGCGTGTTCACATTTGTCGCGTGTTCACATTTGTCGCGTGTTCACATTTGTCGCGTGTTCACATTTGTTGCGTGTTCACATTTGTCGCGTGTTCACATTTGTCGCGTGTTCACATTTGTTGCGTGTTCACATTTGTTGCGTGTTCACATTTGTTGCGTGTTCACATTTGTTGCGTGTTCTCGGCGGAGGACCGCACGTCAGAGGGCGGCACGGTAGGCCCCCAGGGGCCCAACAGTGGCCCACTCGGGCCTGGCGGTGAAGAGCGTCGCTCTAGAGTATCGCCTGCACTCTGAACCCTGACCCTGACCTAAACATCTTCTTGGTTCTTTCGGTAAAGTCACGTAGAATGGAAATAATAAAATAATAAAAATAAAACATAAAATATCTTCTTGGTTCTTTCCTTAAAGTCACGTAGAATGGAAATAATAAAATAATAAAATTGAAACATAATAAAATATCTTGTTGGTTCTTTCGGTAAAGTCACGTAGAAGGGAAGTAATAAAATAATAAAAATAAAACATTATAAAATATCTTCTTGGTTCTTTCGGTAAAGTCACGTAGAATGGAAATAATAAAATAATAAAAATAAAACATAAAATATCTTATTGGTTCTTTCGTTAAAGTCACGTAGAATGGAAATAATAAAATAATTAAAATAAAACATAATAAAATAATATATATTATTTTTATTATTTTATTACTTCCCTTCTACGTGACTTTACCGAAATAACCAAGAAGATGAATCCCTGCAGTCACGAAAGCTTTAAATCGAAATCTGACCTGTACACTCACCGTAACCCTCGCTCTGCCCTTAACCCCTCATCCTAACTCCGACCTTAATCCTGACCCGAGCCCTAACCCCCTACCCTTAGCTCGAACCCTCACCTTATCCTCTAACTCGGAACCCTTGACCGCAACCTAAGCCATATTGCTGACCAACGCTGACCCTGTTTCTACCACTAAGTCTGCCCTAATCATATTCCTCCCATAATCAACGTTTTTGGGTTTAGATCGCGTTATTTATAAATGTGTCGTAACCCTCCACCACCCGACACGGCCAATCAGTAAAAAAAGTGTCACGTTGACAAAAGACAAATAGTTCACTGCTTTAGCCCCACACCGGTGTGTTGAAGCGTGAAACCACAACATTTACAATTTGAGTAGCGCGACGTTTCGCTGGTAATTGCATCCAGCATCATCGGGCAATTCGCCAGAATGGTGAGGCTCTGCTGTGTCTCCCGTTCTTATATAGAGCAGCAGCAGCAGGGTGACGTCATCATCAACTCATATTCCTCCCACGAACTCGGCCCGAACCTAACAGCAACCCTAACTCTTGACCCTTCTCGTACCACTCCTGGCGCCACGGCCCATGCCAACTCTTTGTACGCAGCGTGGACGGGCGGTGCTTATTCTGTACGATTTAATTGTTTACGTACATGATGTTTAGATTTGTGCACGATACATTTCGGGCGCATCTTGTAATTGTATTGCTTGTCGCGGTCGAACCCAAATCAAGAGCCGATTGGCTCACGGGGTAAATCCTAATCAATGAATTGAACTCTCACCTCTTTTCCAATGATGTTTAGATTTGTGCACGATACATTTTGGGTGCATCTTGTAATTGTATCGCTTGTTGCGGTCGAACCCAAATCAAGAGCCGATTGGCTCACGGGGTAAGTCCTAATCTATGAATTGAACTCTCACCTCTTTTCCAATGATGTTTAGATTTGTGTACAATACATTTCGGGCGCATCTTGTAATTGTATTGCTTGTCGCGGTCGAACCCAAATCAAGAGCCGATTGGCTCACGGGGTAAGTCCTAATCAATGAACTGAGCTCTCACCTTTTAATTCTAGATTTGAAGTTTTCGCGACTGCAAGGATGCATACTCTTATTTTTTTCGGTAAAGTCACGTAGGTAAAAAAATGAAATGAATAAAAATAAAAGGATAAAAATTAACCCGTAAAAACAAAGTTTTTCACTATAAACCCTTTATATGCGTGGCGGCTAGAGTCCTCTCGTCCTCTGGCTTGAGATGGCTGCCACCTATGGGTCAGATGATTGTCTGCCACCATTAAGCAATTGGTAATTAAATATTTTAAAAAAAATTCTCGAAACAGTGTAAAATTTTGGAAAAAAAATTTTCACGAACATTTTTTTTCACGAACATTAATTGTCACGCACAACGAGTCTGTGTGCAAAATGTCAGCTCGATTGGATCACGGGAAGTGGGTTAAAAAAAGACCGAAAGATTTGCACGGATTTGCACGGTCGTAAGCAAGCAAGCACGCAAGCAAGTGAACTTAATATAAAGGATTTAAAAATCACCTCTTCTCTCCCCCCCCACTCGCCCCCCCTCCACTCCATCCCTCCTGTGCAGGCCCCGCAGGCGCTGTGTGCTTGCCGAGGAAGACGGCCCCGGAGCGGAGGGGGGGAGGAGTCGGAGGGGGGCACAGCGGCGACAGTGGCGACGATGGCCTCCATCCCCGTGGGCAGCCTCGTGGCCAAGAACGACTACTACCGGAGTGCGTCGCCGCCCCTCACATCACCTGCCCTCACCTGCCCCTCACCTGCCCTCACCTGCCCCTCACCTGCACCTCACCTCACCTGCCTTGCCATCACCTGCCCCTCACCTGCCCTCACCTGCACCTCACCTGCCCCTCACCTGCCCTCACCTGCCCCTCACCTGCCCCTCACCTGCCCCTCACCTGCCTTGCCATCACCTGCCCCTCACCTCACCTGCCCTCTCCTCACCTGCCCCTCACCTGCCCCTCACCTGCCCCTCACCTGCCCTCACCTGCCCTTCACCTGCCCTCACCTGCCTTGCCATCACCTGCCCCTCACCTCACCTGCCCTCTCCTCACCTGCCCCTCACCTGCCCCTCACCTGCCCCTCACCTGCCCCTCACCTGCCCCTCACCTCCCCTCTACTCACCTTACGTGCCCTCACCTGCCTTGCCATCACCTGTTCTACCCTCACCTCCATTCACCTGCTCTCACCTGCCCTCTCCTCACCTGCCCTCACCTGCCCTCTCTCCCCTCACCTGCCCTGCCCTTACCTTCCCCCCGTCCAGCTTGGGGAGACAAAGGCGGCCGGGCGTGGTGCTGCCCCCCACCCCCTCGTGTGCCGTGCCGGCCTTCACAGGTGCTGCTTGCTAACAGCACTTGCCCCAACAGTCTGTTAAGGCTACGCGGGGGACCTTTGTCTGTGTGCAGAGCGTCTGGGTTCCGCTTCCAGCGTGTCGTCCTGTGGCTCCACCAGCAGCAACGAACATCTGGAGGGCGCTCAGCACCCTCACCACCACCATCACCCCGGTGAGTGCACACACCACACACTCACCACACACTCACACACACCACACACTCACCATACACTCACACACTCACCACCCTCACCACCACAACCCCGGTGAGTACACACACCACACACACTCACCACACACTCACCACACACTCACCACACACTCACTCACCACACACTCACCACACACTCACCACACTCACCCCGGTGAGTACACACACCACACACTCACACACCACACACACACTCACCACACACACACACCACACACTCACCACACACACACTCAGCACCCTCACCACCATCACCCCGGTGAGTACACTCACCACACACTCACACACCACACACACTCACACACTCACCACACACTCACACACTCACCACCCTCACCACCACCACCCCGGTGAGTGCACACACCACACACACTCACCACACACTCACCACACACTCACCACACACTCACTCACCACACACTCACCACACACTCACCACACTCACCCCGGTGAGTACACACACCACACACTCACACACCACACACACACTCACCACACACACACACCACACACTCACCACACACACACTCAGCACCCTCACCACCATCACCCCGGTGAGTACACTCACCACACACTCACACACCACACACACTCACACACTCACCACACACTCACACACTCACCACCCTCACCACCACCACCCCGGTGAGTACACACACTCACCACACACACTCACCACACACTCTCACCACACACTCACACACCACACACACACTCACCATACACTCACCACACACACTCACCACCACCACCCCGGTGAGTACACTCACCACACACACTCACTACACACTCACTAACACTCACTCACACTCACCACCCTCACCACCATCACCCCGGTGAGGACACTCACCACACACACTCACCACACACTCACCACACACACCACACACTCACCACACACTCACACACTCACTCACACACTCACCACACACTCACCACACACTCACCACACACTCACACACTCACCACACACTCACACTGACCACACACACACACCACACACACTCACCACACACACCACACACACACCACACACACCACACACTCACCACACACACCACACACTCACCACACACTCACACACTCACTCACCACACACACACTCACCACCCTCACCACCATCACCCCAGTGAGCACACTCACCACACACACACACCACACACTCACCACACACTCACCACACACACACACACTCACCACACACACTCACCACACACTCACACACACTCACTCACACTCACCACCATCACCCCGGTGAGGACACTCACCACACACACTCCCCACACACACTCACTCACCACACACACACCACACACACCACACACTCACCACACACACCACACACTCACCACACACTCACCACACACTCACCACACACACACCACACACACACACTCAC